CAACAACAACAACAACAACAACAACAACAACAACAACAACAACAACAACACCACCACCACCACCACCACCACCACCAGCAGCAGCAGCAGCAGCAACAGCAACAGCAACAAAAACAACAAAAACAACAAAAACAACAAAAAAACAAAAAAACAACAAACAACAAACAACAAACAACCACAACAACAACAACAACAACAACAACAACGGCTTGTGGTGTACAAAGGTGCGCAAAGAATAAAACAAGCAAACGCGTGAATACATACTAGTACTAGTATGAATAATATTGCTGCATGTAGAGTGCCCAACCATGTTGATACAACCCCTGCGACGGTCAGGAAGTCACTGGCAAGCCACCTTTTACATCATTGTACATCATTGTGCATCCCAAGGGATCACATACCCTCTGAGAAGGCGATCTGTTCGACACTGTTATGTAGGTTTGGAGGGATCCAGCGTACCTTCTGAGGTCCTTGCATCCCGGAAGGGCATCTAAAGAAAAAGGAGGTGGAAATCCGGATCATCAAATCCGCTGGAACTAGCAAATCCGGTCAATCTGTGGATGATCGGTAGGCAAACCACTGGGGATGGCCATGGCTCGATCACCTCACATCCATCCCCCAGCGAGCTTCGATTCGTTCAGCTGGTACCCGTGACACATGTCAGAGGTTGGGGCCACCAGCCTAGTAGTCTATACTATACAAAAGCCATCAAAAACCTCTTGTCCTTATAACATGCGGGAAATAGACATCTGAACACCAACACTCCGCAAATGGTCCGAGTTTCAACCTGAACAGTGATGGGGTTGACCTGAACAGTGATGCAAAATGAAGGAAGGTCAAGAGATCAAGAAATAGAAGATTGAAAAATCGCCCTCCCATGTCCTTTCACGCTCCGCTGACCCCCTTCTGGGCCCTCTCCTTTGCCGATACCATTCAATACCACTACTGGAGAACCATCTCCTAGCATCCAAACCATCCCAAACCCACCCAACACCTCTCAATGTGAACCCTCCCCCCAACCACATCCACAAAAAAACACACAAACCTCACAAACCAGGTACAAGTACCCTGGTTCCGCCCCTTTGGCTCTCTCCCCGCGCCGCCCTCGGGCGGTCTCTTTTTGGGCCCTTGGGCGTCGCCGGCCCTCGACCAAGCTTTGGAGCTCCTCTGGCTCGGCCGTCTCGGGGTCGCTCCAGCCGCGCGGGCCCGGTCCAGCGTGGGGGGGGTCCAGGTCTAAGGCGCAAAGCACCACGCCACTCGTGGTGAACGAAGCACCCAGAAGCCACCACATGGAAAACCTGGCGAGGCCACTGGCGCCTTCTTGAAAGCGAAACTGGATGAATCGGATGATGTACAGTACGACTTACAAGCTAGATCTATGCCATCGATACCCATGCATGGATTCGACTCACTATTCAACTCTTATAGCGCGTGTTTCTTGGGAGTTTGGAGGAAGTCTGAAGCCTTTCTTGCCACAAAGCTTATATATATATAAGCAATAAATCACATTGATGCTTCATTTATACATGCTTTGTTCATTAGCATCAGTTACCTGCATGGTTCATACACAGTTGTGTCTTTTCCCGAACAGCGCAAAATGATGAAAATGCAGCCAAGAACAGAATGACACGCTTCCAAGACATCGTGCCCGGCCTGTTTGTTGAACAATTCTTCAAAAGAGATCAAATTGTATTTTAACAATAGTTCCGCCATGTTGCGCCAATGGATGGTGATATGAAGTGTCTATTATTCCAATGGCCTGTCAAACCGTTGCATGTATTTTTCTTTTGACCCCTCTCAATAAGTGACTCCCACAAAAACTATTATTCAAAAACATGAGTGTTTTCCCTTGTTGTTCCAATTGGAAGAATAATTAGCTATGTAAGGGACCAACCCTGGGAGGATACAGTCTGGGGAAGGGGAACCAAAAACCAGAAGCAGCCTCAACATCCCGGCACCGTGCTTTCAGAGTCTTCAATCTGACAGAGTCACCGTGTTTTTACCTGTGGTCTGTCATCTTCATCTTCATCTTCTTCCTCTTTACATCATGTTCACTGAATTTCACCTCTTCATCTTCATCCCCAAAGAGACTGTGGCATCGAGTGTTTCCCCCCGGTGGAGAGTCTCGTGCCAAGTGGATCTGCCCGGTGTCTCACCGGGCCTGTGCTCCTGCAAAATCACCGCGTCCACCGCGGCGGAGAGGGGAATGGACAAGGAGAGGGCCGAGTTCGCGACCGTGGGGCCCAGTCTCAAGAGAGCACAGGAGTAGAGGTAGTTCGCAAAGAGGCACCTCAGTCAACGAACCGAGACCTAGGGGGAAAATGAAGACTTTCTTGCTGACTTTTGGAAGAATGGTCTTTCACAAGAAGGTGAAACGCGGCGGGGTGGGGGTTTGGCCGGGGCGCCCGAAGCTGGCGTTCAACAGCAGCACCATGAGGACATGAAGATCGGGCAACCTGAGACGACGGACGACGACGGGCTGGAGCAAGTCGCCCCGAGTGTGTCGTCTTGATCAGACGACTTGGAGAGTGGATGACAAAGACACAACCACATACCCCCCAAATGGGCAGTATGGTTGGCGTGTGGTCTGGAGGAAAGAACACCAGGAAAGTCTGCGCTGAAAACAAGACTAAGAGATACCCTAAGAGCACATAGTTGATTCTAGAATGTTTCAGAAAGTAATTGGGGAGGGTGTCCTTGTCCTTGACAGGTAGGCAGCCAATCTTGGTGGTTCGACCCAACTCTGCCGAAATCCACCAATGCAGCCCCTGTGAATTTACGAAGGAGTCATGAGTCCTTCTGTTTGTTTATGTAAATTAAAAAGTCGAATGAATCCATTTATCAAAGCTGTTCGCATTAATCCCGAGTCTATTAAAAACCGAACCCCTATTTGAAAAGTCATGTCGGAGACACCTAAATACGGCTTATATATGTTTTAAATTGCCGCTCTTTATAATATCCGTAACCAAACTACCAACATGGCCGATTTTGGTAAAGTTCTTTTTGTTATTAGGTTCCGATACAACCCTAACTGCCCACCTCTGTCCACCCTGTCTATCCACCATGGCACGCCGCGTTTACACCAGCCGGCTTTCCTTCCCCCAATGGGACTCACCTTTCGAAAGCTGTAGTTGTTAGTCTAATGAAGAATCACTAGTTTAATAAAGGTTGTTGTGAGGGGAAAAGGAAGACCCTTCGATCTGGAGGCTTTTTTCTTGTTCAATTTTTGATACGAGTTTAATGTAATATATTTCTTTCCTGGGTGACTTTTGGATGAATCAATGATTCAAGGATCCTCCCACTGACCCTATTTTGGACAACCCCGATTTCAGCGACCCCCTATTTAAAAAATGCACCCGAGCTTTTGTTAATAGGGCGGGCCCGTGTTTTTAATGAGTGGAAGGGAAGCCGCGGGCCCGAGTCTCACCAGTAGTGCGGCTGTGTCAGCAGAACCTCAGGAGTTGTTGCAACGCCATGGATGTTCTTCGTTGTGGATGTTTTCCGGGAAAGTATTTTTCTGGCACTGTCTCCTTTGCTTCCTTCATTGATGGTTCAGTCTGTACAACTGGGCACATGACTCATGCAGTTGTCTTGCTTTGTTCAGCTTTACTTGGTTGGTGCTCCTTGCGGCCTTTTTGCAGCCTTGAGTGGCATGTTGTGGATGGTTGTGCTAGATCGGATGGCGCTCCTACCAAGAGCACATGCATAAGTTCGGTGCTGGGCCATGCTCAAAGCCTGGAGGGGCAGCTTGTGAGCATGCCTTTAGTTGTTGATGGTAGTTTGTCAGCCCTGGTATTTGCAAAATGCCGTGTGCTTATTGAGATGGACTGCTTTCACCGAATTGCTTGGCAGGTGTGCTGTACCATCCATTGGTGATTTGCTTCCAATGCCAATGCTATCAAGAGAAGTAGGCGGACATCCCGCTGACCAGCGCTGTGATTCCTTTGGAATTGCGACTGGCAAGCCCTGTGCAGTTGGACACTTTGACTGAGATGAATTCTTCCTTAGCTCCTCGTGCATTCAGTTGGATCTCTTCAGAGGCACTTTTGACCGCACCATTCTTGAACGGAGAAGGCTGCAAATGAGACTTTAACCTTATCTGGACACTGGGACCGACATCTTTGTTGCTGCTGGTAACTTGACTTGGGTGCCTTGAATCCAATGGCTCGTTTTTTTGTTTCAATCTATTTGTGCACTCCTGGCATGTACATATCATGTCAGTGGCTTTCCAGCAGATCTACAACAGATCGGCTACATTGTGGTTTTGCTTCGTGGTCTCCAGAGAATCACTCCAGACTGCCCTTCTTCTGTCTGTAACATATACGGTCAGACCTTTATGTCAATGGATTGGTGGGCATTGTTGACCAATGCCTTGCCTTCATGTTGGTCCGCAGTCTGCCGAAATACCACGGCTGCGGGTATAGGGGTAGTCTCAACTACCTGACGTGATGTGTGTACAAAGCTTTCTGTTGGACCCTCCGTCTGTGTGATCAGCTCTGCTCACGCCGAGCTATCACACCCGGGGACGTGCCCGAATTGTCCGAGATAATGAGTGGAAGGGATTAGCTCAATCGCAAACTGTCCTGTCCCAAATCCGCCCTGTTCCAGTCCCGCCTTAGCGGCTCCAAGCCCCACTGGCTCGCGAGAGCCAAGACCAGTGGTGCACCTGCCAGTGCGACCATCCCGTTGAGACCTGCACCGTTGGCCGTTTGAGCCGGATAGGATGCTGTGGGTGGCTCGGTTTTCTGTTTCGCTGCCGGTCTTGAATGCTTCCAGATGGCACCGGAAAGGGAGGTTGGATTGCAGAACGTCTCGGGAAGCAAGTATTGAATTTCCCACACCAAACCCAGATCGCCCGCATCTGGCTGAAAATGGATGAACACTAACATCTGAACATGAGGCCCTAAGATCACTCCAGTCATGAAAGGCAAGTTTTCCGGGTTTGATCTTTGGGCCGATCCCATTGTACATTCCACTTCATACTGTTTGTAAAATCTCGATGTTTGGAAGAGGGGAGTTCCTGTGACAGAATGTGGAACAACAACAGAGTTCACCCACTGTTCACATCTGTACATCCTCCCCCTTCAAACCTTCCCAGATCCTCTCCCTCGATCTATTCAGGCCTAGGAAGAGTCCAGGGTCAAAGTCGCGTCCGCTCTGATGCTCCAGCAGGACAGAGCACAAGGAGAAGAGTGCCGCCGCCAACAAGGCCAAAGCTTCGCCGGTGTAGGTGCTGTGAACCGCCCAGGTTGAGGCATCCGTAGGGGTCTGAAAAGCCACCAAGCAAGAGCCCAGGAAGCAAAGAAGCACCTTGAGGCCAAAGGCGAAGAAGCAGCCAATTTGGCTTGTTAAGACTCTGGAGTCGCAGTGAAACATCATGTGAAGCATGGTGAAGCTCTACCTTGTTTGGCCCATTTCTTTTTACAACGGAATTGGGGGAGGTCTGAACTTGTTGCGGTCGACCGGCTGAGAAACGGGTTGGCGAGGGTTGGCGCATGGACCGCATGATGGTGCACCCGGCACCCTATGGATTTCCGATGGAACTCCTGGATAGAACAGAACACAGGGCCACCTTGAACCAAACCGCGCAAGTTCAACAGCCAAGATGGGCATTGAAGGCCATTGGGCATATCTCAAACAGACCCACACACCAAAGTCAGAAGCCCCTCCACAAAAGGAACAAAGGGACTATGACTATGCCAGTAAAGCTAGTATGCCAGGACACTCCAACGCACGAGCGGGGCCTGAAATGGTTTCCAGTGAGCAAAGAAAGCACAAACGTGAAAATGGAAGAGGTTGAAGACAGAACTGTATTTGTAGCGACTGAGGTATGCAAGAGGCTGACATTGTAGAGGCATTGTGAGCAAAGCCACAGGATGCCCACAGTGGCGGACATCCAACCAGTCGCCACCAAGCCAGAGCGAAGGTCCGTCTTCGGTAGCAAATAGGGTGCCAAAAGGAGGATGCCCATGGTTGAATTAAAGAGAGTCACAAACAAAGGCTGTTGGAATTGTTGCACGGAGTTCGTAGCCAGAAGTTGCACGGCTGCACTGGAAGAGACCCAAAGCACCAAACAAGCTGCAAGCATGATAATGCCCTGCACGTGTCGGCCCCTGGAGTGCGGTGGAACCTTTCGCCACTCCTCATCCTCCTCCCAAGCCATGGGTTGTTGTGAGTATTCCGAGGGGGCGAAAGCAAGGCTCTTGGGCCAAGTACATCTGCAGAATTGATGACTTCGTGCCGCCTTTAGGGCCTTTAGCCTCCTAAGCCTTTTAAGCACATTTCCCAAGAAAGGTACCATGCATGCCAGAACTCCTCCTCAAGCCTTCGACATTCTCCCAGTTTGAAGAGCAAACTTGGTTACAGGCTGCAGGGGATTGGACAACCCAGTGGCCAACAATTATTCAAGAGCTGGGTCCATACCTCTGATTCTGATGCAAACACTGACACATGTTGCTTTGTGCATGTTCAAATTTCCGAGGTCCCTTCCAGCATGAGAGTGAGCCGCTTTTGGACAAGACTCCATCTGGTTGCAGCCAAACTTCCTCTTTTCATATGGATTCTGCAAGGCCTTAGATACAACGACTCACCATTCTTGACCCAGAACCCAAGGAACCTTGGACCCTCCATGACCCTCCGGCTCTGAATCTGGGAGTGCCGAAAACATCGAGCAAACGATTGCCATAGACATTGGCCTTTCGCGAAACCATGTCCTCGTCCACCATGAAATCGTATCCAAACAGTTCGAAGGAACTGGCGCGGTGAACGACATTCTCCTGGGCCTCGGCGCGCAACCAGCGCAGGTTCCAACCAAAATGCACAACAAACTCAGAATGGAGCGGAAGAACCCATATATTGTCAATGGATTCGTGGCAGGAAACCCTATACAGTAAAAGGAAACCCAGGACAGTGGGATGTGGTCAAACATCCCAGGGGCTAAGCCCATGAGACTCAGGACGTGTTTGTTTTCTGGGTTCCTGGAACCGAAGACGCTTCTTGTATCTGAAATCAATAGCTGGTGCCTTAAGGGAGCACCACCGTCAGAGTACCCTATACAGTCAGGAACCCCCATGGTTTTCACCTCCCAAAAAGCTGTCGGTTTCCTGATGTAGACCGAATCTGGGACACAGAGGATGTGGTGGGTCCATGTCAATTCAAGGGGCTAACTGAGACTCCGAAGACGCTTCTATCTGAAATCAGGTGGAAGAAAAGGCAAGAAGAAAACAGGAAGAACAAAAACAAGAACAAACATACAAAAGAGGAGGAATGAGAAAACAGGAAGAAGAAGCCAAAGAAGAATAAGAAAAAGAAGAAGAAGAATGCAGAAGAAAAACAACAAACTGGAATAACAAAACATAACAAACAAATAAACAATAAGTCAGAATAAATAAGTGATTAAATAATAGTAATAATACAACAATAATGAGAAAAAAACACACAAGAAAAATGAAGAAGAAACTGACAAAAACAACATAATAAAAAATATATAAAGAACCAACAACAAAACATAAATATACAGTAGTATTATGTAAACCAACAAGTAAAAAACAAGGGAAACAATAACTCCATAAGAATACATAATAAAACAATACATTATATTAAGAAAATTAATACTAAGGGCATGACTCCTTAGGCTGGCAGTTTATACACTGTAATTACTTTCAGTACTCATTAATTGAGCTTTGTCCTGATCAAGGGAATCTCTCTCGAGGGCACTGTTTCTAAGTCTGTGAACCTGACTTTGACACTTGCTCCTAAACTTCTTCTTCCTGCTTGTTCTTTGAGTGATCTTTTCTTGACGAAGAAACCAGAACACTTCAGACCTTCCTTTCTTCGTGACTTGCGCGACGGCTCATCTGTCCAAGCTGCTGCTCATGTTGCGGATCCCTTTTTTCTGGTAAATTTGAACAGCTGCGAGGCCTTATGGGAACGTGTTGCGGGGCCTTGATAGGTGAGAACACAGCCGAACTTAGCCTGGCCGGTCGATTGTGAGAAAGCCACAGAACCAAAGCCACAGAACCTCTCCGAGGATCAAAGGAGTTGCTTCCGGCGGAAGCACACTTTGCAAGCTGGCCAACCGGATTTCTAAAAAAAACCGGATGGAGATTGATTGCTCCTAGATTTTACGCGGCAGCATGGCTCCTTACCATAGCAAAAGACTGTACTCATTCATTGAGCCTGCTGCACTTGGTCAAAGTGTTGGCTCGTGTGATGTGCTTCGTCAGATGCCTGAGCTGCATGCTGCTTGCTGCTTGGATGCCTTGTGTCCTGTCTTTCTCTTGTTCTTGTTGTTGTTGTTCTTTCTCTTGTTCTTGCTGTTGTTCTTGGTATTGTTATTGTTGTTGTTGTTGTTGCCTTCTCTCTTTTCTCTTACACCCGGGGAAGATTAACATGGAACATGAAAATGGAGCTTTGGAAGATTACATTCCTCTACAACCCAGTGGTTCTCAGGTTCTATGATAATCTTCCAGGGTGTATTATCATCTGTGTTCCTTCCTCCGATTCTTGTGCCATCATTCTCCCATTACCCTTCTCAGTTTTGGGCCATGATCATCTCTTTATCTCAGTCTATTTTCTCTATCGCTCTATCTATTTCTCCTACCTCTTCCCCTTTCACCCTCACCAGCCTCGTCCAACGTCCCGGACCCCCCGGCCCCCCCCCGGTCCGTCTCCGGCTCGGTCCGCCGGCGGCGTCCAGAGAGCGCAGCACCGCCGTCTTCATGGCGGGCTGGACCACCGAGGCCCACGGGTCCTGGCGCTGCGAGGGAGAGACGACATGGCGCCGTACAGCCACAAGACATGGCGCCGGCGAGTCAAGTGAAGGGCCTGAGCACAGAATTCGTTTGTGGCATCTGAGTTGTTGTGCTTAGGTGGGTGGGCGGCGGAAATCAAATGCCCAGCACACGGCGTGTGTGCTTCTAGATCATGCCAGGAAGCTTCATCTTGCTTTCCCAAACTCATGGAAGACTCCATGTAACATAATTTGGGTTCAACATCCCGATGGCTCCGGAGGAAGCATGGGAAACTGATGGAAACTCGACACGTCGACATGGCCACCACCTGCTTCACCGGGTGTCACCGTGTGACACCCAGATCGCCCAGCGGCCGAGGGAATCGGCCTCTCCTCGATCTCCTCGCTCTTGGATTGCAGGAACGTCCTGAACCTTTCAAAGCGTGGAAACAACCGGACAACATGTTCTGCAGGGCGGCCACACACACACACACACACTCGCACACACCATCACTGGCCAATTGTTGAATGAACTCGAGTAAGCCGAAATTCGTTCGGCTACGCTTTTTGCTATGCACCCTGACCTTGGTCTCGGCCCTTGCTTAAAAGCAGCGGTGGCACCGAAGCGCCGCTGGCAAACTTCGAAGAGCACTGAGTCCGCGGCTCTTCACTGTGCCACATGGTCTCCTCCTTCTCTTCCTCGAAGCCCTGGTCAGGAGGACGAAAAAAGAACATGTGAGAGCACCGCTTTTGTGCCGGCAACCAAAGAAATACACACCTTTTACGCAAAAAAGTAGGCTTGATTCAGTTGGGGACAGAAATATGACTAAGAGCTGACCCAGGCAACACTGGCTATCCCAAGCTTCTTTTCCGACACTGGCGCGAGTCCTGGACTGGAGGACCTCTTGCGAACGACCCCCGGAAGCAAACGGGTATGGTAAGATGACGCCCTCCCGGAAAGGGCTGGAAATGGAAATGGAAACTCCAACCACCGCTGCCTTTTCCCTTATGCTGTCCTCTGCATGTTTGGAGATGGAGTTGTTGGTGAGGTGCGAGTACTTGTTCTTCAGCCTGGTCATTCGCAAGGGCAGGGCTCATTATGCAGGTTTGGCACATCCTCAAATATAACGTCGATCAGGACCAAGTCTGAATAACCTGACTCCTTCACTGTGATATGGACCAACCAGTTAAAAGACCGATCAAATTTCTCAGAATATAAAGGCGGCGTCCAAGTGAACATTCATGAACATTCCTATAGGGACTCTTGAGGTGCAATCAATCAATCTCTTGCAAACTGGCTGCTGCCGGTCCTGGACGCAACACCACTAGAAAGATTTGGAAGGTCTGGTGGGATCCAGCTCACCACGGATGATCAGTCCTTATTAGTAATTATATAGTCACTATCAAGTGGCATGCATCTTGGGAATTTCTTGTGTTCTTATAAGTACCGTTAAGTAAGACACATGGAGTTCTAGTACCTTTTGCGCTGAAAGTATATTTATGTAACCAGGGTCTCTAGTCCTTCAGCAGCCAGTCTTCTATATTTCCCACAAGACCTGGATATTTCCCAAGATCTCCTCTTCGGATTGTAGTCCGCAAAGGAAAAGCGCAGGTAGCAGTCCTCCCGCTGCTTTGCGCTGGCGCCCCACTTACGCGACTCAGGTGACCATCAATGACGACGGTTTTATGCGACAGCATGTTGCATCATCAAGTGGCCACATCATGAACCAGGACCTTCCAACAGGTGGTTTTAGGACACTCCACACCTCAAACGGAGGGTCCTGGAAGGGCAAAATGTATGGCTTGAACTTGCTAAACATGAAGTGGCCCATCCGATCCCCTGATCTCCGGTCTCAGTCCAATCGGGCGATGGTTCCAAATCGAAAAATAGTAAAACCAAAACGATTCAGTTCCAGGTATACCAGGTTTTTGCTGGTCTCCTTTTACCAGGTTTTGGTGGTACTTGTATCCCTTTGTTTCCAATGTCTAATTTGCACTTGCCTAGGTCACCGAATGCCTTTGGATTTTGGACCTCCTCTGACTTCTTTAGACCCAACAGGAGTCGCTCCCGTCAGACACGAGCAGCTCAGGAGACCAGCGGCTGGCCTCGTAGAACCAAGCGGCCAAAGGAGACCACCTGGCGGCTCCGCTCAGCGGCGGAGATGGTATTGAAATCGTGAGATGCCCAAACCGAGGGAAGGGATCCTCGTTTGACCCTGAATTTGATGGCCAATCGCCTATGGGTTCCAAATGTTCAATAAAACGTCCCTTGAGAGATCACTTGGTTTTAGCAAGAGTCAATGTTTGAGACATGGCTGCTCATGAAACTAGACCCTCATCCAACTGAAACTTCCAATCTTATTTTCCCTGGATGCTTTCAAACATCATGGAAGAGTTCGTAGAAAGAAACACAGATATATCTATATAACGTG